CGCCGTACTGTCATGTCTGAGGCTTGGCCAAGGAAGAGATTCCAACATCTCAACTTGTTGATCCACAGTGCTCTGGGCACTATTTTAAAAATGTAATTTATTTGCCTTATTTACCAAATGGTTAGCTACAAAGACACAATTTTTTGCCTCAAGAGTTTAAGATGGTTTCATTTTTTACCACAGTTACTTTTTCTGATCATATGCAAGAATCAGCATGTTCTATGTCTTCTCTGTATTTAATTGATTGTTTACATTTTATACACTTGTCCACTTGGGAACCATACTCTCTTCATGACCACTGAAGCTCTGTAATGTAAAATGTCATTGTTCTTATAGTTCCCAAATATGTGAATTTCATCGCCCAGGAAATTTTTAAGACTTGGAGGTCTGAACCACCACTGCCAAGTAAGGGTTTTTAAGAAATTAAATTAAAAGATCAATCCAGCATCAAAATCCGCTGTGATCATTTCATAAAGAAAGGGGATTTTAACATTTGAAGAGTAAGAAGCACTTCATCTTGGAAGAATGGGTTTCTGATACATTGATTACCTTGATCTTAATGAAAGCACCACTTTGGCCGTTTTGTCTCTGGCTGGTGAGACATTGTCACACCCCTCATCAGGCTGAGGACTGTCTTGAACCAGTGGCCGGTGAGTTGGGAAGCAGTGGACTAGATGTTCCAGCCTGTTTTGCTGAGGCTAGAGGAATGAGAGAGTAGTTCAGCGAGCACAAAGGCAAGGCCGGGAGTCTGTGCTGGGTCGGCGCAGGGCTTTTGATGGAGGGGCATGTGTGTGTTTGGGTTTGCCGTGCCGGCAAGCGAGCAGTGGAATTTATCGGAGTTGAGCTCACACATTGAAGTTATTGAGCGACTTACACGCAAGGCCGTGACCTAGACTCCCAGCAGAGAGGCCCACGTGGCGGGGCTTTAGCGGGGGGAGCCGAGGACAGGCTCACATCTGCTCATCTGCTTACGTAACCCTGCCTCCTTGCTCCCAGAGCCAAGAAAACACACAAGCCGGCCCAGCGGGGCTGAGGGCCTGTGGTAGCACACGCCATGCGCCGCACAGAAGGGAGCCTTGGCTCGGCCTGAGGGTTGTCATGAAGCCTCGGCCCTCTGCTTCCTTCCCGAGGCCCCGGCTGTGGCTCTGAGACCTGCTGGCAGGTCTGAGTGGTTCTGGGCAGAGCTGATCCCTGCCCTCCCGGAGTCTGGCCTCCCTGGACTCTTTCATTAGGACAGAGCCAGGTCTGCCGCGTGGCAGGAGGTGTGCAGGGCATGCAGGGAGGCCTCCCGGCTGGCACTGGACCCAGGAGGGCACTCAGTTCCAGGTCTGGAACCGCCAGAGCTGCTGAGCGCTGACCTACCTCAGGGGTGTGAGCTGCAGCGTTCTCAGAGCAGCGGCGGCTTCAAGGAGAGAAGGTGGAGAAAGAATTGCCAGGTTGGGCAGGGAGGGTAGGGTAGGGTCAGGGTGCTCTAGATGTGTGGGGGGCGGGCTTGTGAGAGGAGCCCAGAGGGGAGCGGGGGAGGAGAAGAGGCTGTTTGGTGATCAAGCTTTGCCTGGAGCCCTTGGGGCAGCAAGTCCCTCAGACAACCTTGAACCAGGGCAGCCTTCATGTAGGTCCTGCAACATGCTCAGCAGGGAGCTCCTTGAAGTCAGGAATTGTCCTGCCCCTCCCATCACCTCCCACCTCCCCCACCTGGCACATAACCTGGCACACAATAGGTGCCCAGAAAGTGTGGATGGAAACTAATTGAAAGTGGCCTTGGCACACTGCCGGAAAAGTTTATGTTAAACCAACACTTCAGAAAAGACTCTGGCTTGATGCTTGAGTAGGCTCCCAAGGATGGACTGTCTCATGCTGTTGCCACCTCCTGTGTGTGTGTGTGTGTGTGTGTGTGTGTGTATGTGTGCTGGGGTTGGAGGAAGGGGAGGGGGAATAGCAGATGGAACACCCAGGTTCTCAGCTCCCATAATTAGGTGGACAGTGTCATCAGTTGCTGAAGGAACTCTGGAGCAGAAGCAGGTTTGGCCATAGGTGGAGGGTGGGGGGGGTGGGGAGTCAGATAAGAGTTCATCTGAGTTCCAGTCCTTGAAATTTGCAAACGGGAAACCAGTGTCCTGTAAGTGGATGGTACTCACCCAAGGATCATCCAGCAAGTCACTGGTCGAGCTGAACTAGGGCCCAAGCAGGTTTTCTTCTGACCAGGAAACTCTACCTCAGGACCACGTTTCTGGAACCGCTAAAGGGGCACAACAAAGACGCTGTCCGGCCTGCAGGTGTCTGCTCCGGGGAGGCTGGGCAGCCCAAGTATGAATTCCTGTTTTCTGGGTTGGTTTCAGAAGGTGTGAGAAAGTTGGTAGGGTCACAGTCCAGATGCCTCTTGGGTTCCCGAAAATGGAGTTATGTTTAGCAGCATCTTCAGAACCAAAGGTGGGGCGGGCTGGAGTGGGGTGCAGATGTTGTGGGGCCCCTTGAAGTGGGAAAAACCCAATGACGGATCTTCTTTTCATATTTTTCACAAGTGCCCTGTGCAGCAGGGCCTCGTAGAAGGCTTTGTTCAGGTTTGGGGGGTCGAGCAACCCAGGCCTGCTGGACCTTGTGGGGAAGGGCTACCTCCATGAACACCCCAAGACTTATGAAGGGGGGAGGGTCCAGCTCCCCGCTGCCCGGCTTGCTCAGTAAGAATCACTGGGCTTCTTGTTATTTATGTAGGTCCTTCCGAAGATGTAGTGAGTCAGACTCTCCAGGGGAAAGCCCTGAGAATCCGTATTTTCACTGATTGCCTCACATGATTATGGTAATAGATGTGGGAAAAACTGGACCACACCGAGCCCTTGCTTAGTTTTGGAGCATAGTACCTGCACACCTGAGGGTACCCTGGTAGGCGGGGGCTGGGTCAACAGACAGTCGTGTGAGGGTCTGATCCGTGAGGCCTCTGTCCCTCCAGAGAGGGAGGTGCATGCTCAGGGAGGGACCAGGGCTTTTGGAACCCTGAAGACCCCCTTCAGGGGCTGTAGCTCTGCAGGCATGAGGAGAGCAAAAGGACCCGCCAGATCAGGGATTCGATTTTAAGATTCTAGTCTCTCAGTGCAAAGGTTTGCTGTTAGCGGCAAGAGGGAAGCGCATGTCTGGCAAAGGGGAAAGTGTGGACGTAGGCATGGTTTATAGGAAAGGGGCAGGGGGAGAACTGGGACGGAAGAGCTAGGGGCTTACCTTCCCTTGTCCAAGGCTACAGCCTTAGAGCCACTGGAGGGTTTTAGCAGGAAAGTGATATGATCAGAGCTGCGTCTTCGAAGGAAATGAAGTAATGGAGGCAGGTCCTGCGATGGTGGAACTAGGTCAGTGTCAGAGGGAGGGAGGGCATGCAGAGTCCTTGGGATGCAGGAGAGGGGAGAGGAGGAGGAGATGGCGAGTCCACATCCGCCCACCTGCAAGAGGAGCAGGAGTCACAGCTTCCTTTTTTGGGGGGTGGCCTCATTTCGGGGGGTGAGTGATCCCCGGGAACAAGTGGTGCTGTTGAACCTCAACCTCAATAGATGGGCAAGCAGGATGGCAGAGGGCTGCACCCTGGCCCTTGGGTCGTCCTCACCAGTGTGTTTTAGGTGAACTTGCTGTGAGTTTGTGGTCAGCGTTTGGCTTCTATTTTGTAGTGTTGTTTCCTTCCTTTGCTCTTATGGACAGTTTCCTTCACAGGTAAAGCTGGTTACGCTAGAGTAACGGTTCCCAAAATGTGTTCCCTGATAAAATGGTTCTGTGGCCAAATAAATTTGGGAAACAGTGGGTTAGATAAAGTGAAGGGGGGTTCTTGACTGCTCAGCTTCTCAGGGCCTTTGGTGTGTACCATGACTTTCCAGAAGCAAGACTGAGTATGCAGGGTTCCCAAACTTATTTAACCAGGAGATATGTTCTTCCATTGAGTGTTCTACTGGGATTAGTGTTTCCTGGAACCCACTTTGAGAAAGTCTGGCCTACCGGGAATACTGGGGGCCTGGGTTTAGGTGTCGACTCTGTGGCTGATTTCCTGTGTGTCCCTGGGCCAGTCATCTTTCTCCTGCCCTCACCACGTGTGCTGTGGGAGGGCGGCCCTCAGACTTTGGGGAGTGAGGCCCTCTCTGAGCTCCAGCTGTTTCTACGTAGGAGACGAGGACTGCCGTGCCCGTGTCTGGGTCTTGACCTTGGCCTTCTCTCCTCCTAATGCGCCACTACCTCGCAATCCACCACCCACATCTCGTCAATTTTTCTTCTAAGCCAAGAGCTCTCCTACTAACTTATTTCTCTCATTTGCAGCCATGTTCTTCCAGGCCAGAAACTTTGGAGTCACCCCTGACTTTTCCTCCCTTCTTCATCCCCTACTTATACTAAGCATTCTTCTGCGATGTTCTTTCCGGCCATTTGTCCTGTTTCCCTTCAGTTCCTCCAGCCCCTGCCTGTCAAGTTTGTTTCATCTGTGCATCCTGCCCCTTCCCGAGACAGGGGTTAGTCATGCCACTCCCTGCTGCCTTCTGATTTCAGGCTGACTCCCTCAGCACTGACTTTCCGAAGACACACACAATTTTCCCCAACTAGGCTGGGTTCAGAGAGATGATGTAAGTCGTTTGTCCAAGGCCACAAAGCTGGGAGGTGGCAGAGTTAGGTTTCAAACTCAGGATTTCTGAGAAAGTGCTTTCTCAACCATGCTCTCCGATCCTGATGACAGCCTTTTGGGAAGTCTGAGTAGGAATTACTCCATTTCCATTTTTCAGTTGAGAAACAGTCTGAGAGGATTGGGTCCTGGGACGGTGAGTGCTGCAGAGGATGGCCAGCTGTGTGGCTTTGCCTGGTAACCGGAGGGTTTCCTGGGATGGTTGGTCACGCTCTTGCTGGACATGGTGCCTAGTGCCAGGTGTGAGTGCCTTTCCCACGGCCGCACAGCCTCCCAGTAGGAGATGCTCCTGTGGCAGCAGCCTGGCCCCTGCGGAGTCCTGTGGCCTGACCACTTCTCCTTCCCTCCACCCCTCTAGTCGGCCCCATGATGATTGAGTTTAACATGCCCGTGGATCTGAAGCTTGTGGAGAAACAGAATCCGGAGGTGAAGCTGGGTGGTCGCTACGCCCCCAAGGACTGCATCTCCCCTCACAAGGTGGCCATCATCATTCCATTCCGCAACCGACAGGAACACCTCAAGTACTGGTTGTATTATTTGCACCCAATCCTACAGCGTCAGCAGTTGGACTATGGCATCTATGTTATCAACCAGGTGAGGTCTGGGAAGATGGAGGGAGGGAGGGAGCGGATGTGTGTGTGTGTGTTTGCGTGCACGCGCGTGTGTGCTTGTGCAGTCAGATATGAGACTAATGAGGAATGAAGGAAAGGAAGTGTTTTTTTCGACATCTGGCATTTTTCAACTCCACCCACCACCACTCTCCTTATCTTAGTGCAAATGAGCTAAATGCCAAACAGTTTTTTAATTTTTCCAAGAGTATAACTTTGGTATTTCAAGTTTATCCTGAATACCTAAATGCATATCTATAGATTGTAACCTGCCGGGTAGAATAAGACATCTAACAAGCTACATACCAAATTCCACTGAAATTCATCTGAAGAGACAGAGTCTGCCCATTTTTAAAGGGCTGAATGGCCGTTCATTTCAGGATAAACTCTGGATCTGCTTGTATGTAGTAAGTAAGTTTGAGTAGTAAGATTGTTGGCAGTTGATAGCTTCCATCAAAGTTGAGGGACTTTGTGGGCCTTCCTTGGACCAGAAGGGAAGCTAGAAAGAGTAGTGTGTCTGTTCGTCAAGCATTTCGGAGCACTGCCGGTGCAAAGAGCTCCAGAGAGATAATAAAGAAACCTAAGTCCCCAGTCCTACCTGTCCTGAAGCTTTCAGCCCCACTTATGGTAAGCAGGACCCTTCCAGGGAACAATTTGCTAATAATCTCAAGGACTGAAGCTGAAGGTGGGAGAGCGGGTGGCTGGCAAACCCCCTCGAGGCTGTTTGAGTCCCTTGGCCAAGTAAGGCACGGACCGGGTCCCTGAGAAAATCTGCAGGCAAGGTAGCCAGATAGTTGCGGGTCATCTTAGAAGAATATATGAATTATGTAAGAGACAATAGGTAAATGCCCTGCAAATTCCAAGTCACTTCAATCCGACAAATATCTGTTTAAGAAAAGCCCTGTCATCAAGGACCACGTAACTGATGCCAATGAGCACATGTTTATCATGACAGGATTCAGGAGCCTGCTATTAAAGCAATGGCAGTGAGTGCCTGGAAGAGGAAGCCACCATCACCAGGAGCCAGCAGGGACTAAGAACAAGCCATGCCAGCTGCATCTCCTTTCCCTCTTTGACAGTTATTGTACCAGTAGATGAGTGATACACTGTAGACACCATGGCAGATCTTATTCATCAAGACTTTGATGACCTCCCACAAATCTGCCTGAGCGGAAGATAGACAGCGGTGGTCTGGATGGCCTATATATGAGATTACAATATAAACTTGGGTAAAGAGGGTAAAAGAGAGTTAGTGATGATGCAGAGTTTTTGCATGTAGGTGACTGTGGTTAAGGAAGACTTGGAGGGCAGGATGCTAATGTACAGACAGGTTGTATTTTAGGTGCATGTGAGATTTCCCTTCAATTATGAAGTCAAAGCAAATATTGGACCAGTGACATTTAGCCACTATCTTAAGTTCCTATGACATGATTTAAACAGCTATTCCCCAAGTTTCAAACAACAGACTTCCAGGTGTCCTATACCAGCTATTTGCTCCTGCCTGCCCCAGTCCAAGCTGGCAGAACAGTTAAGCAAGCCAGCTTGGACCAGTGGCACCCCTGTGCTGGCTAACACTGGACCCTGCCTAAGACAGGGCTTCTCCCAAAGTGTGGTTTTCGAAATGGAGGACTGAGGCCAAATGCATTTGAGGAATGCTGGATTGAATAACATGAACATGGAGGCTGCAGTGTACTGGTGTGCATTATAGCCGCCAGAAGGACTCAACACTGTTTCCTGAGCTTGTCTGACTGGAGAGCCGTTTTCCAAGAACCATCACAAGTGATGAATGTTCTGTGAATCAAACTTTGGGCAAAGCAGGTCTACATTAACACCTCCTCCCCTGCACCTCCTTACTTGCCCTATGAGAACCGCCCACCCCCCAACTCTGCCCCCCTCCAACTCTGCCTCCCTCTCCTGTCTTTCCCCACATGCAACTTAGCATCAGAGGTATTTCATTTTTAGTTTTTCAAGCATTTATGCCTTTTTTCCTCTAGTCTTGTCATATCATCATCTACCCCCCACCCCAGTCCATGTCTTTTTTTGGAGGGGGGGGGAGGCAATTAATCCATGTTTTTTTGCATCTTCATCTTGTCCTTCTCTTCCAAGGGTTAACTTTCCACCTGAGGACAGTCTCTTCCTCTCTATCTTCCTTTCCCCCAGCTAATCTTATTTCTTCTGCTCCAGCTCCGTCCTGATTATTTCTTTGGGAAAATATGATCGGACTTCCAGATAACCAAGTCATGGAGAAACTTGAAGTCTGCCCGACCTTTCCAATTAAGAGTGTCCTGTGTGATACCTAGAAAGAACCCGTAATAAAATAATAATGATAAGAAGCCTAAGGCTTGAAAAGAACGAGGTGGGAGGGAAAACATTTGGAGCTTGTCTCATCTACAGATTAGGAACTTCCTGTGTTCTGTTTTATTGCTGTGGTCAGGGAAAGGGAGTTCATGGCATCTGGCTTTGGCTTTGTGAACCATCTGTTGAGCAAATTGGCCTCTCGGCATCCTCCCGTCTCAGACACACTGCTGTCATCTTGACTCTTCATTCACCTCCCCACCACACACACCATTTAAGGGGAGAAAGGATGCTTAAAATGGGAGGGGCCTCTGAGACACCTGGTCCAGGGGTTCTCAGACAGGATTTTAAGAACAAAACCCCCTTCTGCTCCACTAAAATGCTGCTCAGCCCCCTTTCCACAGCGGGTCACAGTGGTGCTATTCGACTTGCAGTGGGGGCCATGTCCCCATCTCTACCCCCTAACTTTTGCTGGGATTCGTGGGGACCCCTGAGACCAGATAGTGTGAAAACTCTTCTGTTTTGCAGATGAGGAAACTGAGGCTCAGAACGGGAAGGTGACTGGTAGGAAGCCACATAAGCAACAGTAGGGCTGCAGCTCAGAGCCCAGGCCCCGTCCCCTAGTGCCCTCTCACTGCGTCAGCGCCACCTCCCTTCTCAAGGCCATTGGGTCCCTCCCTCGAGGTCTTTGTCAGGTCTGGGTATCCAGGGCTGGGGGCGAGGGAGTGAGGCTCAGGCTGCCTAGGTTCTGGCTCTGCTACTTCCCAGCTCAGCCACCTTGGGCTTGAGTCCTTCAGACCTTGGTTTCCTCGTTGGTGGAGAGGAAGGTCTCTGTCTTTAGTACACGGAGCTGTGAAGCACCTGGCACACAAACCCTCAGTAAACATTAGCTGGTCTTAGTCCTTTCTCCCTGCCCCTCCTTCTTCCTCCTATTTCCTCTGCCCAGGATTAAGGTGAGAAACTCTTTACCACTCTCCCCACCTCCTGCTTCACCCCCACTCAGTACCAGCGCCGAGCCCCTCCCTCCCATTCGTGTGGCCTCCAGGGTATCAGAGGACTGTGGACTTAGGGACCATGTCAATCAAGCCCACCAGCTTCTTCAAAGGAGGGCTGTCTCTCAAGCTCCACACACAGGGGTGAGCTTTCATGGCCTTTTATGGCCCTTACCCTGTCCATGCTAAGCTATTAACTGCTCCCTTTTGGCTTAGTCCCGTCCAATCACCACAACAACTCACATTTCACAAGTGGGATGGAGGGCAGGGCGGGGCTTCCCAGCTGAGATGGAGAGAAAGTGTTGCTGCTGGTCCTCAGTGCCACCCGCCTCTGGCCCCAGTCCGCCAGTGTCTGCAGTGTCCCCGCTAGGGTTGGGGGACGTCCAGCCTCTTGGAGTCAGGGTTGCTGCTCTGAGGCACAGCTGTCCTCCCCAGGGTCCAGTGCTGGACCTTGGTGCGGTGGAGGAGATCAGGATGTCATAGTAGACGCAGGGGGCTGGGGTGGGTGTGCACACCACACTTCCTCATGCTCTAATCGGGAAAGGAAACTATAAAACCACCAGAGGTGACGGAAAGGCAGGTTGCCACCTGGCAGCACTAGCCCTCAGTAGGAAATACAGGATGTTTGTGGGATTAACCATCATAAGAATTACCCAATAGGCGGGGAATGTGGGCCCAGCTAGTCAGGTGGGTTTATAATAACCACGGCAGCCCTTTGGCCCTGAGCCAGTGTCCAGGATCCGTCTCTGATTCTGTTTGTTTATCCTCTGGTACCTCTGACCTCAGTCAGCTGCACGAGATTTTTCTAGTTCTGACCATGTTATGCCCTCCCTGAAGCCTTCAGTATGTCCCCACTGCCTATAAGCAAGGGTCTGAAGGGCCAGAGAGGCCTGAGCTTGGCATCCGAGGGAGGCCCTCTGCAGTCCACGTGGACCTACTGCCCGCCACTTCCTCTCAGTCCTCCTTCACTCACTCAGGCCACAGCCACGCTGGACTCACCACCACCCCCGAGACACCCTCTGCTCCCCTGCCTGTACCTTTGCTTACGCTACACACCTCCCAGCCCCGTCCTGTGTGCCTTCCCTTCCTTCTGTCCCCTGGTGGCCACATTGTGCTTTCTAGTGAGGTGTGAGGGATGATTCTCTGTGTGCAGATCTACCAGTCCTGCAGCCCCTAGGCCCCAAGGCCCCAGGTCCCTCAAGTCTGACTCCCTCGTGGCTCCCTGAGTCCAGTGCAGTCCAGTGCACGGTCAGGGCTTGGAGCATGGAGCTGCTCCCTGTGGCTCCTGCCTGTTGCACCTGCTCTTGGGACCCCTTGCTCCAGGTTCTCTGGCAAAGTGTGTGCCTCTCAGAAGTGAAGCCTTCTTTCCCCTCCAGGCCAGGTCATGACCTTTGGGAACCTGTATGGCCGGTCACCACCGGGCCTCTTCTCAAAGCCTCCTGCCTGTGGCGGACCAGGGGTAACCTCCCTTTTCAGGAAAACTACAGAGAACCTAATTTAGCCCTATGGTTGTTGGTGGTCATAAAACATTATGGTCTTTTGGACTGAACCTCTTTCATGTTGCACTTTGAATTTTGGCTCTAACAGCCCCCCGGTGAGGCAGTGGGTCCTCCCACCATCTTGCTGTTGGAAGGCTCCCGGCGGCGGGCAGCTTATTCGGGGTCCCGTGATGGCTGGGTGGCGGAACTGGGATTTGGAC